AAAGGCTTTTGACAAAATTCAACAGCCCTTCATGCTAAAAACGCTCAATAAATTCGGTATTGATGGAACGTACCTCAAAATAATAAGAGCTATTTATGACAAACCCACAGCCAATATCATACTGAATGGGCAAAAACTGGAAAAATTCCCTTTGAAAACTGGCACAAGACAGGAGGGATGCCCTCTCTCACTACTCCTATTCAACATAGTGTTGGAAGTTCTGGCTAGGGCAATCAGGCAAGAGAAAGAAATAAAGGGTATTCAGTTAGGAAAAGAAGAAGTCAAATTGTCCCTGTTTGCAGATGACATGATTGTATATTTAGAAAACCCCAAATTCTCAGCCCAAAATCTCCTTAAGCTGATAAGCAACTTCAGCAAAGTCTCAGGATACAAAATTAATGTGCAAAAATCACAAGCATTCTTATACACCAGTAACAGACAAACAGAGAGCCAAATCATGAATGAACTTCCATTCACAATTGCTTCAAAGAGAATAAAATACCTAGGAATCCAACTTACAAGGGATGTAAAGGACCTCTTCAAGGAGAACTACAAACCACTGCTCAGTGAAATAAAAGAGGACACAAACAAATGGAAGAACATACCATGCTCATGGATAGGAAGAATCAATATCATGAAAATGGCCACACGGCACAAGGTAATTTATAGATTCAATGCCATCCCCATCAAGCTACCAATGAGTTTCTTCACAGAATTGGAAAAAACTGCTTTAAATTTCATATGGAACCAAAAAAGAGCCTGCATTGCCAAGACAATCCTAAATCAAAAGAACAGAGCTGGAGGCATCACGCTACCTGACTTCAAACTATACTACAAGGCTACAGTAACCAAAACAGCACGGTACTGGTACCAAAACAGAGATATAGACCAATGGAACAGAACAGAGTCCTCAGAAATAATACCACACATCTACAGCCATCTGATCTTTGACAAACCTGAGAGAAACAAGAAATGGGGAAAGGATTCCCTATTTAATAAATGGTGCTGGGAAAATTGGCTAGCCATAAGTAGAAAGCTGAAACTGGATCCTTTCCTTACTCCTTATACGAAAATTAATTCAAGATGGATTAGAGACTTAAATGTTAGACCTAATACCATAAAAACCCTAGAGGAAAACCTAGATAGTACCATTCAGGACATAGGCATGGGCAAAGACTTCATGTCTAAAACACCAAAAGCAACGGCAGCAAAAGCCAAAATTGACAAATGGGATCTCATTAAACTAAAGAGCTTCTGCACAACAAAAGAAACTACCATCAGAGTGAACAGGCAACCTACAGAATGGGAGAAAATTTTTGCAATCTACTCATCTGACAGAGGGCTAATATCCAGAACCTACAAAGAACTCAAACAAATTTACAAGAAAAAAACAAATACCTTTAACATCAGAGGGTTGAAAACTCCACCTCAGATTACACTAATGCTGCCATTTTTAAAAACATGCAATCCATGAAGAGGCATTAAGAATTGTTCATGAACAGGTTTCCCCTCTCAGAAATATTTGTAACTCCTCCTATAGCTCATTATAGCTCATTAAATATGTATATTTGGCCACCCCACTCAGCGTGAATTTCTGACTTGCCTTCCATTCCCTCCCCAAGGTTTCCTCTCAGCTATGTCTCCCAGCCAGCAGGATGGGCTAACCTTCAGTCTGTAACCTTTTATGGGAAATCAAGCTCTTCCCAAATTTTGAACCTCGTGATTCTTCAGTTGACGGCTTCTACTCCAATCCCTGCACAGGAAAGTAGCATCCTAAAGACAATGTGGTTCCCTGCAGTCCATCCGACCTCAACCGCAAAGTCACCGAACTGGCTCTCCTGTTTCTCCACTCCTTCCCCTGTACCATCTATTTCTAGGGGATAGCTAGGGCTAGCTTTTAAAGGGAATATTGGAATATCAGAGGATGTTATTTTCTCATAAAGCTTCTCTAGGGGTTTCCATCCCATCTCCAGGAAAGTCAAGTCTCTGCTCTTTACAAAGATCCCCATGGTCCAGCTGTGCACCCTCTCTTCTCTCCTTTCTTCTGCCACTCTCCCTGCCACCTGCTTCCTGCCTGCCTGGCTGGCTGTGACCTTGTCCTCAAAACATACCACATTCTGTGTCCTTGGTTCAGCTTGGCCTCTCCTGGCATGGGCAGCACCAGGTCTGCTCCTCACTCAGATCTCTGCTACATGGTGCTCTCCTGTGGGAGGCTTCCATTACCATGTGATCTACAGGAAGTACCCAGTCCCTCACTATGGTAATTTCAAATACAAATCCATAGTATATATTCAGGGAGTATACAAGACACCTTATGTGTTCAACCTGGCAAAACTCTAAACAAATTAGCCCTATATCCTCAATTTGTCAGACATACCCAGGCTCAGGGGCGCATGTGTTGTGGTATACCACAACACAAGGAGCAGAAAGAACAGCTCCTGTATTACAGAATTGGTGGATACACTGGCAGGATCGCCTAAGCTGTCCTGACTCTATGGAGCTCCAGCATTCAGACTGGAAACCAATGCATGCATGCAGCCATAGCTATTGTGCAAATAAACTCCCCTCCAGATTTATGCTAAAACCAAATTTTATTGACATGTCCAATATGTTTTATGAAAACAGTCCCAAACTTGGGTTCATCTAACATTACCATCCCCTTAACACTTGTAGCTAACTTTTTATGCTTTCAGCCCTGGATATTCTTTTAAAGAATATTTCTATCAGGAGTTCTAAAATCATTCGGTCCTCATATTGATGCAAAAATAAAACATATGAACAAAATCTCTGTGCTTCACAATAAAGGCAGATCCAACCTGTGACCCCAGACAGTCACTGGGCACACCAACCAGGCCACTACAGAGGAGGGGGATACAGGACAGCCCAAGGCATGGATGAGAGAGCATTGTACCGTAAGTATGCATGTGTCCTAGAATACCTGTGTATACAGGCAGAAGAAAAAGATGACTAACCTGTGTGTGTGTGTGTGTGTGTGTGTGTGTGTGTGACAGAGAGAGAGAATGGGAGAGTGAGAGAGAAAGAGAGTGGTAAAAGTTTCCACTTGTTGTTGCCATTGTCTTTTAACTTATTTTTTCACAGGCATCAAGAAAATTCCCAAAGCCAAATTAAATGTCTCATGAATCAAAGAGATTAGTAGGTGGTATGCAAGATAGATCTGCATGGAAAGTACTGCTGAAAACACTACTAATAAAAATGAGAAAAGGCTCTGGAAGGTCACACACTCCATCTTTAAAAAAGACTCATGAAGTCTCAAAATCAGGCAAACTACACACATACACAAAAACAATTCAGTACAACAAATCTGTTAAATATATGACGTTGGAATTTTTAAAACTATCAGACAAAAGAAAACCTTGTTTGGCCTGTTTTTCTTCTTTTCTTGAGTGGGACACATTGGCCATCCCTGTAAAACACGATATACTTAAATGCAGAGGCAGGAACTGTAGCATAAACTTTCCAATATCAGTTCAAACCTAATTTCACAGAGTTCTTTAATGATATTTATATACTGTAAGTTAATAGGGATGAAAGCAGGAATCAAAATGGCTCAGATTCTAAGAAGCAATTTGATTTCTACTACATTCAGAATATAATGAACTTTCAACCTATCATTTTTGACTGACAGAACATCGCCCTAAAGAACATCAAATACCTGTTGAGGAAAAACCAGATCACTCTCTAAAAATGAGGAAACGAATGAACAAATATGTACTTAAACACGTCTATTAAACAAAGTAAATCTCAGGGACCATCTTTGGCTTTGCTAAATCCACTCAGGAAGAGACACAGCATGTTTCTAGGGCACTGTGAGGTTCATTTCCTCATCCACAGCTCGGGACAGAGCACTTATGGCCCATCACAGAACATACACTCTTTTATCATCATAGTCTCTCAATTCAGAGCTTTGCTGATTTGTAAAAATGTATTTTAGCTTGTAATTTGGCACACATAACGTAAAACCTGGAGTAATGCTCTAAAACAAATTTCAAGGACATCTGCCATGTGTCATTTTAAACCAATATCTTCTATTGCTACAGAACTTAAATGCAGCTCTATTTTTAATGAAGTAAAGACATAGATCTTTCCAAGCTCTATGGAATATTCACTTTTAGCAAATAAATGGCTCCAACTAAGGAAAAGAAAGTTTCCCAAATATTTTCTCATTTCTACTCCACAGACTTATGCTCAAAATCAGTATGTCCCACAAGAATAAAGAAAACAATTATTGTATAATATGTCATCTAAATTCCTAATATGCATTTCTGTCTCTTAGACGCTGAGTTAAAATGAATCAATTGTGAAGGTAGTCTGTTGGTCATTAGGACGTAAGTACAAATACACATCTGGGGAAAAATATCTACAGTATTCATTTTTTTCCAGTGAATCACTGGAAAAATATTTCATTACAATACAATCCTAAAGTTGATATAGAAATTATTTTAAAAATTTAATTGGTGTACAGTTATTTTCTACCTAGCATTTGTGTGCCAAGTATTCTATTAGGTATTTAAAGAAATACAAAATATAAAAGAGATGTATCTCCACTTTCAAAGTAAATTGAGTTGTAGGCAGCTATAAAGTGTTGTGCTAGTGACATATATTTGGAAGTTATTAGCTTTTTGCATTCTCCACGAATACTTAAATTTTATTTGCATGCTACCTTCAGACAGTAATTTGTTTTACTATTTTTGTTGTTGGTTAAGCTCAGCCCTGATCTTTCTCCACATCCTAATACAGATTAATGTCTTTAGTTGCTGTTAATTTGTTTGCTCATCCTTTGTCATATGTATAATTTAAATGATTTATTAGAAACTATTCCAATCAATAGAAAAAGAGGGAATCCTCTCTAACTCATTTTATGAGGCCAACATCA